TAAGCCGCTTCAAGAAAAATTCTGCAGGGCCAGTTCTCTATGCACTTATGAATCAGGCAGTGTTCATGGATGAAACGACCACAACAATGAGAACCAAAGGCGATTAAAGGGTTGATTGTGTGACTTATGGTTGTCTTGGTATACACCTAAGTTCGACGGTTCAAAGATATTAAATCTACCGATTGATCGAGTATATCCGACATAAGTTTGCTATGGATTCAAAGGAAAACCTACTTATCCAGATGCGATTAATCATTTCTTGTAAATCACACAGTTTTTCATGCATGCATATTTTCAGATAGCCATTCCCGATTCACGTGGGGGTTTGTTCGGGTTTTTTATTAGATAAAAGGTATGAATAGAAAATGGAGAGAAAGTATTTGGAGGGAAACAAAAAGTTTGACTGTGTTTTCCTTTACTAATGCACTTTGTCTCTCATCGGAAAATGGTAAGAAAATCTTTGTGCTTGTATAGAGAAGTATATCTTCTAGCTCTTAAAGAGTTGAGAAGAAGTGGTGCCTCACGCCGTCGCTCGCTCGCTCGCTTGGCTTCGAATTCGGTCTATTGATTCAGATTCTCCCCTCTCTCTTCTGCATTTCTGCACTGTTTTTCCAAAGCAAAATGTATGCATAAGTGTGGCTTACTGTCGTTTGTTGAGTTTAACGGAATTCTGTAATTTTCATTGCTGGTATTACAGAATAGTTATTTCATTCTATCTTGGGAGGGATTAATCCAATAACACTAGGCAACAGTAAGGGGATTAAATTTCTTAAGGAAATAAAGTTTTCTGTTGGGCTCGAAACTCTGTTTATATTCTGTTTCTGTTTTGTTTTATTTTTGCAGAAATTATTTTCAAATACAAGTTTAGTAACATGGAGTTCTTGGTTAATACTATTCAACAAGAGCTATGAATTCTATTAAGGAAATTCAAAAAAATTACAAAAATATTATACCTAGAAGTTTTCATTATTAAGCGTATTCAATAGTTTATATATAAAATTATGTTAATTTTGAATTTATGGGGTTCGTATTATGGTCAAGATTAAACATTTTAATGGTTTTATAAATCATAAAAAGACTAGAAGGTAAACCATAAAATACTAAGAGCTAAGGGCATCTCCAACCCTCCCTTATTTCTCCAAAATGCAGTCCTTTTTTGCCAAAATATGGCTCCAATGCTCCCCCATTTTTGCCCCCAAAATGGAGGATGAATAGTGTGACTCCAAATTTGGAGCGACACTATTCATACCCTCAATTACTATTCATCCTCACTTTATTATTATTTTTATTATTTAAATATTTTAATTTATCTCTTTATATATACCTAATTATGTTTATGTAATATCTTTATAATATTAATTTTACATCTTAACTTTGCTATATAATTTTGATAAATTAATTTTCGTGCATTTATTATTTTTATGTAAAATTGTAAGTTAATTTTGATATAAGTTATTTTTATGTAAATTAATTTCATTTATAGGAACATACTAGAGGTGGAAGTTGAATATTTATGTAATATTTAATCTGAATTTTACCATAATGTAATATGTATTTAATTATCTTGCATCTCAATGATTTTATTTTTATTTGAATTATTCGTTAATATATATAATCTATAATATTTTCTTACAAATTATATTATTTAAAAATTTATGGTATAAAATAATTTTATATTAAATTATATGTGATGAATATGTAAAAAAAAAAAAGATAGACTTTATTTAATAGAAATAAGAAAATAAAATTTAAATAAACGATAATAATATAATATTGAAGAGAGAGAAAATATAAAATAAAATATTCTTTTTTGGAGTAAAAAATAAAGTAATGGTTGGAGTAACGTTACTCCATTTTGGAGTTTACTCTATTTTGGTGGAGAAAATGGAGTCAATGGTCGGAGATGGCCTAAGTATAATACATGCTACCACATTTCTAGATGTAAAATGCACACAACTCCAATTTTATTTAATACACTTCAGAATTAGTTAAACCTCAATAAAATTCGTGAATTAGTAGGAACGTGATTAAAGTAGTTTATTTTTCTTCAACCTTCATTCTTTTAGTATTTTCTTTCTTTGTTCCCAAAATGTGGAAGGTTTTTTTTAAACTTTCAAAAAAAGAAAAATTAGTCAGTGATATGGGGTTTAAACTTTTAAATTACTTTGCAGATTTTGTCTCTTGAAATGGAAGCAAGTAGAAAGTTTGCTAAGTACGTAGCTCTCGCTGTCAAATCCTACATCTGCAAAAGCTCTGATGTTCTCTGTGCTAACAGTAAATATTAATACAAGCTAGAAGTTCAATAACATCACCCCCTTTAGATTAACAATATCTTGGAGTTGTAAATAAAAGGAAATTTCTCATAATTGAATCCAATTCTAATGAAAACTTTAACTCTTTTTAGTCCAGTACTATTATTCAATAAATTACGAATTTGCTGAAGATCGTAAGTCAGGTAATCACTTGTAATACTGGAATTGAGTACGTAGAATTGATTACGTCCTTTTCTATTTTTTTTAACCCTCCTAAATTATTGTGTCTTTTTTACGTCTCTTGAGTTATCTTGTTGTATTTAAAACTACTGTAAGTCTCTATCTAATAGCTGCCTTACATCATATTATTTGGGATATTTACTGATATTATTCTGGGCGGAGCCACTATTAGTTACTCGGCAGAACTTAGTAATTATGGCTCAAAATCTATATTTCTGTTAAAAATTCATTTGATAGTATAAATAATTTATTCATATTCCAATAAGCAAAAAAAAAAGTATGGTCCAAAATACATAAACTAAATATTCTAACTCTGCTTCTGCTACTACTTCTCCTTTTTATGATTATGCGTAAAACTTCTCTATATTCTTTGTAATAACCTCTAAAACTCTTCATAAAATTATGTAAAATACGAAAATTATGGCTTAGTGTAAAATTTAAAAGGAGTAAAAGAAGGAAGATCTAAGGGAAGATATGAGGAACAGAAAGAGAGTCCAATCCGAGGAAACAATAAACCGGATTCTGTGACCAAAGCCCGTTTTGCTTTTTCCTGAATACGACCCATGACCTCTTTTTTCATATCTCGTAATCAAGTAATATTTGCCATGTCAGCTAAGTACCATGAACAGTCACACGTGGACACTGTTGCCATGTCATCAAGTGGGTCCCACATTCCACTGCACGTGTCAAGACCAAGTCATCAAACAGATTTGGGTTCACTAGGAAAACTGGTAAGTTAACTGGAGTAGTAGAGAATATATATATATATACGAGGTTAAATGAGATGTTGGAGTACATACGTGTGGTGTGTTGATAGGATTTTAATACTAGGTGCCTAAAAAGGCTTAGGGGCTTCCCTTACTATAAACAGTAAAAAGGGAAAACAATAAGTTTGGTTAGTCAAAAGATACGGTTTTTAACTTTATAATAAGTTGTGAATGAAAAAAAGTGTCCTTTTGCTCTGATTCTGTCCTGACTTCACTTAGCTATGCATATCCTCACAATCGATTCCTGGATCCTCAATGTCAGAAACGGAGATATTGAGTATTCTAGAAAAGATAGCTTACTGAAATAATTATTTAACTCAAATATATAAAATTTGGATCAAAATTTGACTTGTAGAAAAATAATATGGAACGATAGGACATACCATTGTGATTGTGGATAATTGGAGGCCATCGAGAAGGGATAGACGTTTTAGAAGGTTAAGTATTTTGGCTAATCTTGACTTGAGAGAATTTTTTGTAAAAAGGGCTGATCTCTCACATCTATCATCAATAAGCTCGACAAGGAAAGGGGCAATAATATGGTGGATGAATTAGAAGGTGATGAAATTACCGAACTACAACAATAAAAATTCAAGAACCAAATTCATTTGGCAATGTATCTTTATTTGTTTATTTGGCAAATTCAGAATTTACTCAAAAAAAAAAAATAGTATGATTGTCCTTGCTGTGATACATATTAGCCAACCATGTCCTAGGTATACACCACAGTCCCAACTCCAATCAATTCCCCTGGCTAACTAGAAACTCGGTCTTGTTGACTGGGTTTCGCTTTCTCCAAATTTTTAGCTCGCGTTTGGACATAGATTTGATTGAAACTTGAAAAAAAAAATTAAAATTCTATTGAAAAATAATTTTTGAAAGTTGAAATTGTGTTTGGACATGTATTTTATTGGAAGAAAAGTTAAAATTTTGTGAGTAGAAGAAAATATTTCATCCAAAAACTGCCCTAAATCAGTTTTTGGAAATTTTTGAAATTTTTTTCTCAAAACATGATCATATTTCATAAACAAACATTTTCAGATTTTTTTTTGAAAGTGCAACTATATCCATCCATAGATGTGAATAGAAAGTTGATTTCTAATCCATAACAAAGTCTTCATTCTTTTTTCTTCTTTTTCAAAATGTAAAGAAAGCAATTAAATAGATGACATTGGTTTACTACAAACATCAAACATATTGGTTTAGCTCAGTAGAAATTAAAAGAATTTCTTCAGTATTCAATTAAATAGAAATAGATAGAGAAGTAACTTCAAAAACAAATGCAGTTGAATAAAACCTAGGAGTAGTATATATTAATGCACTGGAAACGGAATCTAGTGGAAACGGGCTTGGTTTAGAGTTGTGTGGATCAATTTTATCAAGAAAACAACAAAATTGGCTCCTATGGACTTAGATTCAAAGACCAGCCTAAACTCTGAGATTTCGTCAAATATCAGACTACAGAGAGCAACTTGTATTTTCCAATTTCTACACCATTGAGATCCAAAGCAGATGTCTAGTAAACCAAAGTCATCAAATTATAAAACATAGTGAAAAAGCACGAAACAGGGTAGAACCCAGAAAAAAGGATTGTTTAGATCACAGACTATGATATGAAGATTGTTATGCGGTGAATAATAATGTAAGATTGTTATACGATCCATAATCCTTCAGCAATCATGAAAGAGCCAAAATTAGAAGAGAAAGTGCTATTGCATTTCTTCAAAATAATAGCTATAGCTATGATCAACTTATTTATATGTCATTTGAAAATCAAAGATGTAACAACAATTATGCCTCAGTCATATAGTCATCTGAAACTTTAAGATGTAACAACAACAATAGCTATGCCTCAGTCCCAAACAAGTTAGGGTTGACTATATAAATCCTTACTAACCAGGACCATGTTTCTAAATGGACAAAAATATAAGATTTCACATAACTCTACCGTCACTATCATAAATTAACTAATGAGGATAGTGTACATTGCACCAGAAAGAAGAGGCTGCATTATTCTGGCATGAGACCAAGATGTTCTTGGGTGAAACCATATTTTCCGGCCCCTTACCTCTTGCAGCTCTGTAAGGTATTTTGATTGGAAACACTCTGCTAAGTTGAAGGCACAATTACATTATCCACAACTTGCAGAGTATGAACCTACATAGAAAGCAAGTATAAGTTTTATGACGATCCCAAATTTATAATTCACATTAGCACAAAGGTAACAATTTTAAGCAATGTCTTGAACAAAATTATGGTACTTACATGTCTTGTGCACGGTGTAGATGTATAATACACGACGATTTTCAGCAGAACTTGTTTAAGTTCTTGGAAATGCCACATCAAGGATGTTTAGTCGTATGTACGATTTATTGATTAGCAGCATATGCGAAAGGCTCACGTAAAGAGCAACAATGAGATTATTGACTTGGTCCTGCGGCCCACTTCTTCCGACTTGTAGGGCCTGAATTATCAGAATCATGCCATACCAACTCCATCTGGCAAAGAATGAAGCAAAACTCAGCCATATTAATCCCTGACACTTGTACACATACTATAAGCAAAAAGTAAGAATTATGCTGCTGGAAGAGGAAAACAATTAGCAAGAATTCATTTTCACTCAGCCAAGGGAGAATATTACAGAATATGTCAAGAGCTTTTCATCATGACATGCTAAACAAAGCTATGCGTAGTACCGGAAAGCCTTGAGTAGACGAACTTAAGTTAAAAGACTAATAAGCTATCAGCAAATAAGTTCAATGCAAATTACAGGAAAAGAAGCAATTATGCAGTTTAGTGGCTAAAATGAGCTGGAATAAGGAAGCAAAGTAGCATAGACCTACATCTCCAACGACGACGGTGTCACCTTCTTTTACGCCAAGCTTGAGCAGAGATTTATTCACACCACATGCCTCTAGAACATGTTGAAATCTTCTGTCTGAGTCCATATATCTGCCACAAAGAATAAGATTCCTTTTTAATGGAAGTCAATGTAATTTTGATAAGGATCAAATATATCCAACAAAACTTGAGTTAAAGCAGGTTCCTTTAAGCAAGCGGGCTAGAGGAATCCCTATAGTCCACCAATTTAAAATCTCTATACACCTAAATTTAGGATGATATGTGAGACCACTAGAAAAAGTTCAACTCAAGTTGATAATGTTGACTAGTCTCAGCTATGATACAAGAAAATAGATAGCCAACATGCTACAACCAAAACATGTTCCATAGGGATGCTAATCCAAAAGGAAATAGGGGAAAGGTGCTTGATGAAAGGCAGTGACGAGAAGGTAAAAGAAGACAGGAATCAGAGAACAGCAAGAACCATACCTCCAGTTTGTCATTTGGACGAAACGTTGCAGGCCTGATCCTTGAACATACCAAGTTTTGCAAGAACTATCATGGGTGATTTCGAACTCGCTTATGGGAGCAGCTCGCTGCTTTTTCACCATGTCAGCAACATAGTTCAAATTTACTGGGTCCATTCTCACTGTACAAGATATTAAAAACATTAGCATTATTCTCCCCTCCCCCCACCCCCACCCCAAAATCTTTTTTAAAATTTGACATCCATTTAACAATAATAAAAGAAACTCAGTGCTGAAAATACACAGTAGAAAATCCTTTTTTTAAATGTGGTGTCCTGATCAGTTTTGCGCGTACCTCGACTATTCCACCAGGAACCCTCAAATTCACCCTCTCATATTCTTTATTCTGATAAACGCTCTTGTTTTATTTCCTCTAAATAAAAATTCTATTACGAGTTTACNCCATCTGTCTTAATTTGTTAGTCCACTTTTTCATCAAGCTCAAGTAGTAAGAGAATAGTGACTACATGAATTGTTTATTATTTCTTGAGAAACATGGGCACCATTTTTTACTTTAGCATTGTAGAAAGGTAGAATAGAGGATTAAGGTAAAAGTGGGGGCACTTGAAACTTCTTTGTATTTGAAATGTGCTAATTATGAAATGACAACATTTTAGGACAACCCAACAACGAATGTAGGACAAAAAAAATTTATAGGAATATTTATTTAGCTAGAACAGACATTTGCTCAACTTAATTACACTTGTCAAGACAAATTAACTGAACATCAAAGGCATTATAGCATAATCATAGCCACCGGTAACATTGACGCAAATGACAATTAAGAAACGCTTACCTTCTTCTTTAGCAGCTTCTCTTTTTCTTCGAACAAGCTCATAAGCAGCACAAATAACTTCATGCGTACCCTCTCTTTTCACTGCACTCATGCAAAAGGGTTCAATCCCACGAGATCTCAAACTGTCTCTGAATGTCTTCCAATTCTCATATGCGTCTGGAAGGTCCATTTTGTTGTAAGCCACTAAAAAGGGCTTTTCAGCAAGTTCAGGACTAAACATTTCCAATTCAAGACGAACAGCTTCATATTCATATTCCGGTTGTGGAGATGAACCATCAACCACGTGCACCTTTCTCCAAATAAAAATTCCATCAATTAGTCAAAAATATTAGCTCAATCTCAGAATAATCAGTAAAAAGGTAAAGAAATGCTATACATCAGTGCAAAATAATTGGAACTTTTAAGTATATGGATGCACATAGTACATACAACAACAACAACAACAACAGCCCAGTGGACTCCCACAAGTGAGGTCTGGGGAGGGTAGTGTGTACGCAGACCTTACCCCTACTCCGGAGGAGCAGAGAGGCTGTTTCCGATTGACCCTCGACTCAAGAAGATGAAAAGAGACATTGGAGCAGTAATAGCAGAGGAAGCAAGAAAGATAGCATCAGCAACGTAATAACCAGAAAATAGAGAGAAAAACAATAACAATAAGCAGTAGCGATGGCACATCACTACGGACATAATGGAGTAATATGGATACAACAAGAGCCACTAGCATCCTAAGACACTAAACTATCGGACTAGCCTCCTACGACCTAACCTGCAGCCCTAAAAAAATAATATGGACACAATTGAAGCCACTAGCAGCCTAAGACAAAATGCAGGCTAGCCTCCTACCTCCTAACCTACAACCTTAATGTTTGCCCTCCACAACTTCCTATCAAGGGCCATGTCCTCGGAAATCTGAAGTCGCACCAGGTCCTGCCTGATCACCTCTCCCTAATATTTCTTTGGCCGCCCTCTACCTTTTCTCACACCTGTCAAGGTCAGCCGTTCACACCTCCTAACCGGAGCATACATGCTTCTCCTCCGCACGTGCCCGAACCATCTAAGCCTAGCTTCCCGCATCTTGTCTTCTATGGGAGTCACGTCCACCTTCTCCCGGATATCTTCGTTCTAATCTTATCCAGCCTAATGTGCCCGCACATCTATCTCAACATCCTCATGGATGCACAGAGTACATAGAAACTACGAAAAGATGAAAAGACCAACAAAAAGAATTTTTTATTTTTTGTGTGTGTGTGTGTGGGG